TTACGTAGGAACATAGGTACTGTGAAAGTATATTAAAACACCATTTTAATCCTTTATCACCAACTGTATTTTAAATAAAAAGCAGAAGTAAAGTCCACGGGAAGTCCTAGGCTACGCGGTAAGCCGGTGCTGGTGTGAGGGCCGGTAATCCCCCGCCTCTGAATGTATCGTCGTTATCAATGTCGTAAAGTATTGCTATCATATTGACATAGAATAAAATAAGGATGTATTTATGAACTAGCTGTCAGCCGCGACTTCATCTGCGCGGAATTAAAAAAAAGTTAATAAGTCTATGTGTTCTTACAGACTATATTCTATATGCCAAATTTCAGAGAGATCTGTGCAGCCGTTCTGAAGATACTTCTAACAAACTTCCATCCATCCATTCATGCATCCAAAAATTTGCATTTATAATATTGGTAAGAAAGTAAAATGTTATTTTTTCCGAACAATAAAATAATTATTCATCATCATCATCATCAGCTCACTATACGTCCCCACTGAGGGGCTCGGAGCCTACCCTATTATAAGGTCTATATTATTATATAATAAATAATTATTACTTAATAATATTCAATAATATTTAGCATAGAATATTTTATTAATTCCACAGGAACTAAATTATCATTGTACGTTTATTAAATGTTTTATTGCTATGTTCATTTTATTAAATTAATATTTAAATGTACGGACCATTAGGGAAGCAGTTATAACGCTTAACTGCGTAGCTGACTCTCACAATTCATCAAATTGTTATAATAATACTAAATAAAGTGGTGATGAAAAGCTTTTAGTCCTAAAAGCTTTTTATACTTTAGACGGATTAATTCATTTTATAAAAAAAAATTGTCTATTAGTGTGTAAAATTTTCAAAATATTTCATAAGAAAGGTTTATGTATCAGCGTAAATATTTCTTATAATATATTATTTTGAGTAATTATTATACCTATTTTAATAATAAAATGTTGATAATAGAAAAATTCTGTTATTAAGCTAAGCCAGAAAGGAAATATATTTTAATATTTAAATTCCTGAATGGCTTCGATAAAAAAAGCATTTCTCTACTATAACCCCATCGATGAAGACAAAAATATCATTCGTCTTTCCCCCTTTTCCCCAATATGACAGACAATAACAAACATTTGTTCCCAAGCAGTAATATAAAAGGCAGTAATGGCGCGAGTTGAGGCTCCCGTGAGAGCCCTTGAGCTAAGTTACTCTCAAAGCGGTTCAGACCTAACGCCCCGCCCCGGCCCGGCCACCTCTAGTTCGGTAAAACTGTATTTACCTCTTCAATATCTTTATCAATGTAATAGAATAACTACTGTATTTTAAATAATGGCCTAAATATAATCTTACTAATATCGTACTTCTGACTTATATTATAAAGTTTAGATGGATGGACGGATGGATGGATGGATGTTTGAAGGTATCTCCGAAACGACTGAACGGATTTTGATAAAATTTGGCACAGATGTAGAACACAGTCTCAGAGAACACATAGGCTACTTATTATGTATTTTTTTAATTCCGCGCGATCGGAGTTACGGGCAACAGCTAGTTCGAATTGAAAGTAAGTGTGTAGTAACTTTTCGAAATTTCATTCGCTATACCTATTGTATTATGTAAAGCTAAAAAAATACAGAGACAGAGAATTAAAAATGCTATAGAAAATTAATAATTAAAAGTGGTATATAAAACTTATAACAATTAAAATAAATGTAATACAATCGTAAACTTAAAAGTTTGTATGAAAACACAAAACATGAAATACATTTCACTTAAATGTCACAAACGGTGAAAAAATAAAGTGCAACACGGATTCGGAATAGAAATTGGCTCGTTTGAGCTGAACCGCAAACGCTCAGTGGGCACCGCGAAAATGTTGCGCTTGTTGCCTTTTTAACTATTTTCAATTTCCGACTGAACTAAACTAACATATTTAAGTACAGCTAAGTAAAATGCAACGTTTTAGACTTTATTTATAAGTTTTAATTGCCTTAATAGTCGCCACTCCTATTCATAGATGTAAAATGAAAATTTAAATGATAGACATGAATTTAATTGATATTTGGAATATAAGAACAAGTATCAATATAATTTTAATTATTTAGAAAGTATAAATATTTTTTGCCATTCATCATCTTACTGGCCTTATCTCTAAACTAAGTTTACAAAACCTTAAGGTTTTTGACTTATTTATTATATTTTTTACCATTACAATGCTTATTTCATGACGAACTACTAAGTAAACTTATATAAAAACGGCTAAACACTTCGTCTGGTGGCGGCACCGACTAGTGATCGACGGGCCGCGGACGTCCCGCTCTCCCTGATGAAAAGCCCCCGATAGGTTCGAAACTAATCGGTACCGCCACCGGACAAATATACGTGAATGTTCAGCCGTTTTTATATAAGTTTATTATAATGTCTCACGAAAGTTTGAATAATTTAACTACTAGGTACTACTAGTAACTGTACATTTTTTGGATACGTTTGTAAACATGTTATATTAAAAATAAATTAAAAATAATATTGCTCAAAAAAAATTTAAACCCATTTATTTACAAAATTCTCCTATTATCTATGAGTACTGCATGACATTCCGCAACCAAGTTCATACATATACAAACGTATCATACAATTTATGATGTAGTTACATACTTGCTATTTGCGTCAGATAACATAAACAATAAGGTTAATAGTCTGCAGTGGTACTGAGTTCTTTGTTTTAAGTTTATATTTAAAGTTCAGTAACTTGAGACAGATAAAAAGTATTTTAGTCACTACTCGAAAACAAATATCTAAACAAAATTAAAAGTACGGTCATATTATTTTATCATTTGATTTTTAGAGTTCCGTACGTCAAAAGGAAAAAAGCGGAAACCTTATAGGATGACTTTGTTGTCTGTCCGTTTGCCTGCCAAAACCCTTTTTCAATATACTTAGTGAAGAAGTGAATCTTATTTATGTTATAAATGCGAGAGTATAGATGGATGAATGTATGTTATTACGAATCTTCATAATAGCTTTATGGATCTTACTGAAATTTGGCATAGATTTAGAGTGTAGTCTCGAAGAACATTTAGGCTACTAATTAAGAACTCTGCGCAGATGAAGTTGCGGGTGAGAGCTAGTACTAAATATTGCAGTTGTTTAAAATTCACTATTAGACAATTAATTACTTAGTTTTATATAATAATTATTAAGCTAATTTGATAAACTGTTATAGAACGCTAAGTATATGTAAAATAATCATTCAGCGGTAAAAAAAATCTAGCCACTAGATTTTTTCAAAATCATTTCCAAATATAAGTTATGGGACACGGTTACCGCATGGCGCTACTGCAAACGAAACTGCTGTAGATAGGACGAGTGCCAGGTTTAGAACTACACCATTATAGTCTTCTGTTACTAAATTGTACAATATTGAAAAGACATAAGATTTTTTACACTAGATAGAAGAATCATGTTTAGTATACTAATCGTGGCTGGTGATTTCAGATTTAATAAGACTAGAGAAAATACATCCATTGCAATCGATCAAAGCTTAAGTTTAATAATAAGCTGAGCATAATAATCATCATCATCAGCTCACTATACTGCCCCATTACAGGGTCATGCTGGCCCAGTGCCGGCTAGTTAACTTCAGACATATCTTTAAATTTCTTTTCAGATATGTGCAGGTTGCATCACGATGTTTTCCTTTACTGTATGAACGTCGGATAAATGTACATATTTAAATCGAAAAACAAATAGAACGTGCTTAACTCCTGAGCCACCCTGAGATAACAAAATCGTACATAAACAAAAATGTATTTTGTAAAACATTACTCAAAGGTTCAAATAGTTTTTTTGTGATTAATACTATAAATTTCAATGTCAAAATATCAAGGTTATCACTATGAAGAAGAGTAAAGTTTTGACATGGCTGTGTTATTACTTAGTATATTACTTTGCCAGATAAATTACTTGATGTTACATATTGTGTAGACTGTACATCAACGATAACCCCTTTGAAGGTAAACTTTGCGATGGAAAGTGTATTGAATACGATTTCGTTTAGTAAACACGTGTATAAATCAAAAGTTATGTATATATATACATATTAGCTGTCGTCCACGACTCCGTCCGCGCGGTGTTAAAGGGAAACTTAAGTAATTAGTTGCCAATGTGTTCTTCCAGACTATATTCTACATCTATGCCAAATTTCAGCGGGATCCATGCAGCCGTTCTGGATACCTTCAAACACCTTACTATTATAAATGCGAATGTTTGGAGGGCTGGATAGATGTTTGTTTGAAGGTACATATCTCCGGAACGGCTGAACAGATTTTGATGTAATTTTGAACACATGTAAAACATAGTCTGAAAGAACACATAGGCTACTAATTATGTTTTTTTATAACGCAGTTTATAATATTAGTAAGATATGTCAAATGTGTTTACACTACAAAGATCCAAACCCGCAGTGAGTTAATTAATACAAATATGTGCATGTATTTTATATTTAAAATGTATAAAATCGCAAACAAAATGTCAACACAGAATGTAAAATCTAATTTATAATATTAACGAATTATATTAAAGTTAAAACCTACTATAATTTTATTAAAATTTAAAAACTTGAGTTTTATAAGGGGTCGAGAAAAAACTTTAATGTGATTTAAAAAAGAACAATTCCCACGTTGCTGGAAGCCATTTGAGCAAAAATAGCAGCATCAAGAACAAATTTCCCTGGAGCCCTCTGATTGACTATAAATAGAATGAAAAAGAAACAATTTATGCAACATATATTTTAAATATAATAACTTGACGAAACTTAAAAATATTTAACTTTAAAACCAACATTTTTATTTAGCAGCTTCATTTCATTCCACAGGCTACTAAGTCGGTAGGTTTATATTGTGTTGCCTTATTTATGCGGTTATGAAAAAATAAAAATAAGTTTTATTAAAAATATTATATAATTTAAAATTCAAATATATAAGTCAATAAATGTTACTTTTTAGCATATCCTTGTCTTCTGTCACTTCCTTGTAGCTTTAAATAATCATTCTGAAAATAACGAGAAATTAAACATATTACTTTATCCATACTACTCCCGTCAAAACTATATAACTAGTATATCATAAAACAGCATTTACTAAACAGTAAAAAAAAGCCTACTCCATCTTAGTATTATACTAGAACACAATCAAAGTGTATCATTATCTTTGATATAGAACTGTATAAACAAGCTTAGGCCGTCAGTGTCATTACGTCACTAATATCGTGATTTTATTTAGTATTTAAACTAATGTTAACTTAGTGACGATGACTATATATTAAAAGCATGTAAGTCTATTGAAACGAATATAAATCTTACAAAATAAATACATTATCATTTCTTACGTGGTTTTACAACTCCGCGCATCCATTTTGTTTCCTCTTCGGTAAAATCTGCAAATTTATTTATATCGTACGTCGCAGAATCTTGTTTTGTATTTAACTCATTGATGCGTTTCAATGATTTGATAAAAGCTTGATAATGTTCTTCTCTGTCAGCTTCATCCTTATATTGTCTGTCGAAATCTTTAATAAATTTTTCAAACAGTTCCTCGGCTTTGTTAATATCGTAAATAGGTTTATTGGACACACTAGTCGACATTGTGATCACAGTGATGGTTACAGACTGACTAACAGAAATAAAAACAAAGAATTTGTTATATTGACTCCATGACTCATTTGTTACCAATATGATTGTAGGTACTATTCCATTATGACGAATCTAGTACAAAATAAAAAGCAACAATGTTTACATATCACACTTATCTATTTTAATATGAACGGATATTATTATTAATTGGTTACACAGCTGCACATTGTTTTTACTTATTTAAAGTTATTTTCGCGAATGTACATAATATATGAGTTATAACTGTGCGTAAATCAGCTCTGGTCCGGTTCAAAAGTTCACTTTAGATTGACTGTATTGCAATGTATTATTACTATGTGAGCCGACGAGTCGACCTCCAGCTGCCTGATGACTAGCAGTTCACAGCTCGAAACGCAAATCATAACTGTATGCAAATACAAATTGAGCTGAAGTGCGAGTCTGTTCACTGATCTGCTTCACACATGTGAACCGCGAGCTGATCTGCAAGTCATCAATTTTATGTTAAGGTTTTCATGACAAGTGGGTTAGTATGTGTCAATTCCATTGTGATTGTATGTAGAGACCGACAAAAATATCTGACCCGGTGGGAACAAGTCAAACTAAATTATCATAGCTCACTAGCACCATTTCTTAATCTCAATAAGGTATCAGGAGATCCTTGTCATAGTAAAACTGTCTTGTCATTTGTTTTGTATCATTTTCTATGCCTATGAAGGTTTTACATGTTTTCTAATTAAACTAACAGCGACCCTTTACCAGACTAGATATCCTTGTTTGGTTATAGTTTAGACTTAACAGACTTATTAAATGGTTGGTCTCAATCGATTCTTGTTCATTCCTTGAGTGCAGTCAATCGGGATTTTGATTTATCGAATAACAAATTACGTTTTTTTTTTATATCATATCACAAAATGTATTTAAAAGTTTTTCCCCTATTGCCTCTGTTGTACATTTAGAAGTAGTACTAACACACTGGCATTCTCTGAGGTCGAGTTACTTTCGGTCGAGTCGTGCCTTTGATGCAACAGCTGCCTCTGACTGTACCGCAGCTAGTGTTTTGTATTATTATTTTAGAGAAGAGTTAAGTCCATTTCTCTGAACATTCTAAACAGTAAACTAGTCCATTTCAAACGCAATACTTAGCTGTACTCACAAACGTAACGTTAAAACAATGTTTATTTAACCTAAACCTAACCTAACGTGTGTATGTTACAAAGTGGAAAATAGTCATTAGTCTGAATTAGAATTATTTGAATATCTCAATTGATTATATTTAAACATAAAATTCGTTCAGTGTTGAATCCTTTTTTTTAATATCAAAGTAACTCGGTAGAAAAATGGCAAGAAAATCATGTATCGAAGAACGAAATTGTTAAAAATTATTATAATCAAACTCAACATTTTGATATGAAAATTTAATTATATAAAACCCTTACCCTTATACACCGTAATTACAAAAAAATAGAACTTCTACGAATAATAATTTACTCGGAGAAATTTATACCAATTAAATTGTTTACAAGACTTCGTTAACATGAATATTTCATTTATAAAATTTTGCAAAATTGAAAACTTTATTTAATACAACTTCATGTTCGATATTTTGCTTAGATTAATATGTTTCATATTATCTATACCATATACATTAATTACTTTGAAATAGATGAACATAGTCGTAATTAAGGATATTATCTTCGACAGCGTGGATCCAAAGTTATATTTTAGTCGCTCCATGTTTGCTCGTACATCCTTTGCTACATCCGACCTTTTCTCGGTCGCTTATCTTTTATAATATACGGCGAATCCCAAAAGTTATAAAACTGGGTAAAATAATATTTTGTTATACACGATAACTTTATAATTTTATTTCAATACATACTAACTTATAATCTAATCGTAATTTTGAGTTTTTTCGAGATCATCACATCAATCTGCAAAATAAAAAACAATTTTTAGTAGAACAACTGGTATACGCAAATAACATACACGTTAGTACCTGTTACCGTCATCCTTGAATTAATTAAACTATCTTGAACAATGTTAAAGAAAAACATTCTCTCAATTTAATAATCATTCTTGAATGTATTATAAAAAAAACAATTTACTCCTTTTAAAATAATATCAAAAACTTTAAAACCAGTATGTTATTTTTAATCTGCAATGTCATGACAGATGTCACATACACAAAAACACAAGGTATAAGGTAAACAAAGTATGAATCTTGTGTCAATTATTTAGTATGCGGAGATATTTATTACAAATATAAAAGCATTTATTAACACTTACTGCGTTTCGTCAACCCGCGCATTTGTTTTGTTTCCTCTTCTGTGTAATCTGCGAATTTATTTATGCCGTACGTCGCGGAGCCATCTTTTGAGTTCATTTCATTGATTCGATGCAGTGATTTGATGAATGCTTGATAATGTTCTTCTCTATCTGCGTCATCTTTGTAATTTTTGTCGAAATCTTTGACAAATTTCTCGAAAAGCGCTTCGGCGTCGTTGACGTCGTAAAACGGTTTATTCCGCTCCGATGCACTCGTCGCCATTACGGTCACGTTGAGCGACAGAGACCGACTAACTTGACGCGAGGGGAGGGAGAGAGGTATTACGTCGTCCTCGTTCTCGTATCGTGACTCTGACTCAGTCGGTGGCGCAGTAGTGCTCCCGTCGAGGCCGTTCCATGCAAATTCTAAACTATTTTTTTTATCAAAGTTGCCTTTATTAATATGTCAATCTTGTAAGTCAAGAAAGAAGCCAACAAGATGTTTATATAAGAGTTAATTTCAGGGATAAAATTTTACTTAAAATCTATTTAATTGCAGCAAGTATATTTTGCCGATTACATTGTACCAGGCGCTAAACCCGAAGTAACTTACAGTTATGATTCAAACATTGTGTGAATTTCTATACAAGAAACGAAATGAGATATGTTGTAAATTGATATGAATAACCGTTAAAACACACAACTGTTGACTTTATAAAAATATATTATTCAGGGAGCAGAGACAATTCTGCGAAAAGCGGATCGTACGGTATCCATCTGTTTGGTGATAAAATAAATTTTTAAATATCGTGTTAATAAGACCTCTTTTCATAACTAAATATTTTCTGTTTATTTTTTTAACCTAACATAGAGGTATTTATTTATATCAATTATCCTGTACTAGTAAAACTATTTATTTGAATACGTACAAAGAAAAATGTATTTCAAATAACTAATGCCCTAGCATTTGAAGGGATCTGAAGAAGGTTTAAATGGAATGTCAGATGCAAAGGGTAGTGACAATATTGAATTCATACGACATTTTAACGCGTGAAGGCATTTGTGAGAATGATGTTTTTTTTCAACACCAACGTAATAAAACAATCCCTTATGAAATAAATAGCAAACCAGAGACAATAAAGAAAATGTTTACCATTTAAAAATAATTACAGTGTTGTTTTACACGAAGTATTTAATTTTTACTTCATACTTTATAGAAATACTAGCTGTTGCTCGCGAATCCGTCCGCACGAAATAAAATAAAACTTAAATACCCTACGTGATTTTCCAGACTATCTTCTACATCTACTTCAGCGGGATCCGTTCAACCGTTCTAGAGATACATTAAAACAAACATCCATCCCTTTAGTTTTGGTAATTTTGTTATTTTCATTGCTTGCTTTTTTATTGTTTTGTCGCTTGCTTATATAATTATAGTTGTAATTAATTCCTAAGTTGAATGTTAAGGGACTGACATGTTCAAAAGAACGAAAGTCCCTAAAAAAAAAGAAAAAAAACATCCATCCATCCAAACATTCGCATTTATAATATTAGTAAGATAGCAAGATGATTGTTGTATTTCGTTTTATTACTTTTTAGATTATTCGACAATTACTCATAATATTTCCGCTACAAACAATGTATAGCGCCCGGTTCATTTGCAAAATAGCCAACCAGCTAAAATAACATGTTGGAAACTATTACTTAACTACCAAGAGCTAAAAGCTAATAATTTATTTCACAAACAACAGCACACTGTACTAATTTAGTGGAGAATGTTAAGGTAACAGCAACATGAAAGTTAAATAAGAAAATTTATTTCGAACTTCGAAAAATTTCAACATTGTTTTCACAATATTTTCATTTAACATTTTGTTTTTCAAAGTAACTTACTTTACCTGCCTTTAATGTTTCTGGCTATCTATTTAAGAAGTTGTGTTGGTTCTTTGTCAGATAAATACTATCGTGACTTACCCTTACTGACGAGGCCAGGAAGGTGTATTAAGTTGACCGAAGTATGTTTAGGAAATTATGAGAATATTTGATAATTTTTTGATTAATGGACTTATAGGGTAGTATACAATATGGTCGTATTGCGACAAAGCCATTAAATTAATCATTAAATTAAAAAAAGAAGTAGTTTTTTTATATACATATCATAAGGTTGCCAACGAGCAAGCGGCCACCTGAAATCACTGGAATAGCTAAGTGACCGATGCCCATAGCCATACGCAATTGCATATGCGTTGGTTTCGGTTTAAAGATCTTTATTTACTCATAAAAAACACAACGTTTCGCTTACAATGAGTATAAATGTAAAATATAATATAAGGGCTTGCGGGCTAATACAAAATATAGTAACCATATATAAAATCAGTATAAATCAAAAACAGACCTTAGTACGTACAACTATAAGAAGTTAAATTGAACAGAAATTATATCTAGATATAATATTGAGAATAGATTATGACATTACAGCGATGAGATATGATTTAAGTTTGCGTTGCCTACCTTTAACCGACGGAAGAGAGGATGCACAGAAAGAAAATATTTTCCCTTTCCATGCATACTCTCATCCGGAAAGTCCACTTCCACTTCCCATCCTTTCCTTTAAGATAAAGGGTAGGAAGGGAAATAGGACTAAATTAGGCATCCGGGACGCACACTCATCAGACGAAACGCGGAATTGCTTCTACTTCACCGGGCGAGCCGGGCCAATTAGTGCGAAGATGTTAAAGCGGACTCTATCACTGTTAGAGTTAGTTGTAAAATGATATTCGACTTTTAAAGAAAATGCTTATAATTAAATTATGTACGTAAAATTTATAATAGGTGAGCCAAAAAAGATAAGCTTTCAATTATTTTCATTGTACAAATGAGTTAACTTTATTGTTTACATATGTATTAAAACATTGGTGAAATAATTTTACGAATGATTTATTATCACGTTGCTATAATGTGGTTTTATTGACAACTGGGTAACATATGATAACAGATCATATATTGTGGTATCATTCAATAGCCTTAAATTAATGATGGTTAACAATACAATAATTAATGCTAAGTAATCATCAAATCCTGAATCATACCAATTTTATTTAAATATAAAAGCTCTTTATTTTGGTAGCTAATGATATGAAGTAAGAGATATATCCGGTGTCTGTTACACAGTTCATACTATGACAAACTCCAACGCTCAACCTGTTTGTTTAATTGTTAATGTGGATACATTTTTAATAAATAAATAAATAAAAAATAAATAAAAATAACCTTAATAAAATAAAAAAAATATCTTTACTTGTCTAGTGAGGACTGACAGGAGTTATAATTATCATTATTTATAATCTCCCGAATCTTCTAGTACTCTGCTCAGTTATCCAAGAGTCCCAATTGACGTAGAGATCCCTCTGTAAGTATAGATTCGTTTTAATTCACAATATATCACCAACATAACAATGTTTAGAAAATAGGCCACTATAATTCGTTAATCTATACAAAATCAGTATATTTCCACGTTTTTCGTGGCCTGAAAATACTAAGTTTTCCACTTCAATCATACAACAACCATTGTGGCACTTTGTAAACGGATTCCTTTGTGGGAATTTGCTGACAGCGACGTAAAACGTTTTCCTTTGTTAAATGTAATGTTATGTTACAACGAATATTTAATACTATTTATTACGATTTATAACATTGATCGTAAAGAAAAAGACGTATTAAACAAATTTTATTATTTTTAACTTAATAATTGGCCGATTATAATTTATTGTTATAAGGATAAGGGTCATAAGGAATTAACTATGCTACGAAATCTGTAGTAATTTATCTGACTGCCTAAACTTCCTTCTTACTAATCTTATATATCAAATTCTCGTGTCATAATTTTCGTTCCCGTACTCCTCCGAAACGGCTTGACCGATTCTCATGAAATTTTGTGAGCATATTGAGTAGGTCTGAGAATCGGCCAACATCTATTTTTAATACCGCGCGGACGGAGTCGCGGGCGACAGCTAGTATTATATAATCTTACTCTTACTAATATTATAAACGTGATTATTTAGATGGATGGATGGATGAATATTCATGACATTTGGCAGAGAGGTACAGCATAGATAGTATGATTATAAATCTATAAAGACTATAGTCGAAGGATATAAATCCCCACCAAATTTCTCTTCTTTCGTTCTTAATCAACACAACCATATTGATGAATCCCAATTCAATGTATTCTTCAATTACATATATTACCTAAACTGTATAAAAAGCACGTATCGTGAATGCAGCATTTGAACAGACCATGACTAATGAATGCACCAGGTGTTTGCGGTTACCCCGCACCCGGCACATTTAGCATTTCAACCTGCAAATGATACAGGCAAAATCAAATGTATACTGAAATGCTTTATACAATTAACAAACTTAATGACATCTTCAATATTCTAGTAGACACAAAATAATGACAAATCTAAAATACATCGAAATAGAGAGTATTAAATGTTAAGTAGACATGAATCTTCTTATTCCCTGTTTATTATTCTTTGGCTTTTATAAATTTAACCTTTTCACATAAATAATAGCGATGAAATTATTATTATTTTGGATTAGTTAAGAATAGTAGTATTAACAAATTTAGACCTATTGAGCCTCCATGTTTTTAAAAATCATGCATTAAAATAAAATGCTAAATCTCAAACCTTTTAATCAAAGTCTCAAATCTTTCTCTTTCAAAGAAGTCAGTGCAATAGTCCTTTTTTAATACATTTTCGACCAAATAGCCGTCATAAATTGCTTAAAGAATTTTATTTCTAGACAATTCACAAAACTACTAAAAAGAAATAAAATTTGTTCTTTTAAATCAGATATGAATACCACTTATTTATTGTAAGATTTTTGTAGCTCGTATGTAGACAGCCGTAATACCGAGGTATTTCCTTAAAAAAAATATTGACCTCGCTTCAATCTTTTCCTCTTTAACAATTTTGTGAATTAATGAAATATTTTTAATTCATTTTATTTTGTCATTAAAATGATTAATTTATTAATTAAATGTCAAATACAGTGTTATTAATTATAAAATATATAATTATTTCTAACTTTCAATACTTATATTGAATCATTTTAATTATAAATTGCTGATTGCTAATTAGACCGTGTATTTTGCTAGCTTATTACCAAATAGGCCGTGTATTTAATACTACGTATTAATTCCAGTATGTTATATCTGAATCTGATTCTAATTTCTTTGGTAATTCTCTGATACATATACTTCATCTTACTAATATTATAAATGCGAAGTTTAGATGGATGGATAGATGTTTGTTACTCTTTGT